GAGGGCAAGTGAACGGTTTAGTAAAAGAAATGTTCTGAAATTAATGAAGATGTATTACAACAAATACTTTTCAAAACAGTTTTTGTTTTCACTGGTATTTAATCCCAATAATATGAGTTTTGTGGTATGTTGTCTTTTACTGGCAGAAATTGTAGTTAATATTATTGTGATTCAGCATGTGAAATATACAGAAATAGATTGGGTGGCCTATATGCAAGAAGTGGAGGGCGTTTTGAATGGAACTTTCGACTACACGTATCTGAAGGGTGACACAGGACCACTTGTTTATCCAGCGGGCTTTATATATATTTATGCTGCGCTGTACTACGTCACAAATCATGGACAAAATATCAGACGTGCACAGTACATATTTGCCTTTCTATACATTGCCCTTCTTTATTTGGTGTTCAGAATTTACATGAAGAGCAAGAAAGTGCCTCCTTATGTTTTAGTTCTGACTTGCTGTTCTTCGTATCGCATCCATTCTATATTTGTGCTACGACTATTCAATGATCCTGTGGCCATGGTGCTATTTTATGCCTCAGTCAATCTCTTCCTAAATTCTAAATGGAGCCTGGCAAGTTTGTTATACAGTATGGCAGTATCAGTGAAAATGAATATTCTCCTGTTTGCACCTGCCATTTTGTTGACATATTTAACTTGCCTTGGTTTAAAAGGTACATTGATACAGTTGACAATATGTGCATCAGTTCAGGTTCTGCTTGGAATTCCATTCATCCTGACCAATCCCATGGCTTATATTCATGGTGCTTTCAACCTTGGCCGTGTGTTTCTATATGAGTGGACAGTGAATTGGAGGTTTCTGTCAGAGGACATTTTCACAAACTCATACTTCCATATAGGCCTCCTTGCTTTGCACATGACATTACTTTTGTTTTTCTATAGTTCTGCACTGATATACCTAAGAAGTTATGCGACACTCATTAGCATTCAGAAGAAGGTTAGGAGACAGTTATCAGACTGCACAGAAAAGTTGAACATGGACACAGCATCACAATTATTCTTACTGCCACTTTTTACTGCCAATCTGATTGGCATAGCCTGCAGTAGGTCACTGCATTACCAGTTCTATGTCTGGTATTACCATAGCCTCCCATATCTTCTTTGGTGTACTCGCTTTACAAGTATTGGCAGACTTTGCATCCTTGGTATCATTGAAATGTGTTGGAACACTTTTCCATCTACATCCCTGAGCAGTTTGACATTGCATTTGTGCCACATCATAATTTTGTTAGGAATTGCTAGAAACAGGCCAAATTTGAAAGTAGAATAAGAAGTAAGTGACATATTTGGGTGAAAGTGTACTCACACACACTTCTATACTTTAGCCCATACACTTTATATTCAAAAGTTACATTAAACTTGGCGTGTTAATAAGTAGGTAACATGGTGTTTCTATGATAACAAATGCAAATCAGTTTTACTTGTTTAAGCAGCAATAAGAAGATTACAAAATGCTCAAATATTTTTGAAAAGCACAGAGGAAAAAGAAAATTTCCTCCAAGCAGGTGTGTATAGCAGTAATGTAGTCTTGTGTAAGTGGTAGACACTTAAAATCTCAGCTAAGTTATCAGATATCATAACAGGTTTTTTTATGCCTTTCCACATTCACTTCAGGTAGGTGCTGTAATAGTGCCATGAAATAGACCATGACTGCCTCATTACAAATCTTGACTTACCATTCATGTTTATCTTCTAGTTTACTTTGATGCTGTGTGGACAGTGCAGTGGAAAACCATTGTTAAACAACCTAACAGTTAGATAGTCAGTCCAGAAACATGGACACTATTATCTTGCCACCAAATATTTTAGTTTTGACATTTTTGGTTTTTGCAGTTGGTGACAAGATGATGTACCCATGTTACGTCTATAGGGATAGTAGAGCTCCTATTTCAGAAATTTTTCACCTTTTTTATTTTAACATTACAGTGTATCTAGATGAATGCACCATAGTTTATTGTGGATTTTTGTCCACTGCTTTGGGATTCGTCTGGTTTACACATTTGAACTACAATGCATGTAATGTACGAGGCTCGTCCACAAAGTAAGTTTCCCTGGGGCCGTTTACAGAAACAAAACACAATTTCATGGAAATATTTATTGCAACAGATACAGCAAGTGTCCAGCTATTTTTCAACATATTCGCCACCGGAATTGAGACATTGGTCATACCGTGGGACCAACTTTTGAATACCTGGG